GACCTTGCATGTTTTGTTACAATTGTTCGACATTGTTCAAAAAATCTCATGGACTATTAAGCACCTTAATCAGATATGTTAATGTGTTTGCCCGAGGAATACGTAAACAAACGAATTAATTTCGATTAGGTGTAGTTAATGGAAATAACAATTTTCTTTTCAGGCACAAGAAACAGGCTTCAATGTGGTTACATAAGTCAAGCCGTGTAAGTCTTTCAAATCGTTGCTTTAAAGGCGACAAAATGCACATATGCGGTTCAGTTGACGAAACTCGTACGTCGTTTGCTATGAAATGGGTTGCAAAAATTTGTGAATTATGCCGCAAAACAGGAAGAATCAGTCAGCAGGCATGTACCATAAAGTGGAACCAACGGGCTGCTAAGTTCATTCAAAATAAGCTGAAGATTTTCAGTTAAGTAGATAGACGAAACAGTGGAACAACTTGTTTCAGCTTATTCGTTGATCAACTCAATAAAAATAGGGTAAAGGACCTAGAAGATTGCAAAAAACCTTCTATGCAAGAAATTTTAAACTTGGAAACAACGACAGCAAGGGCTTTTTTCTGAAAAATGTTCGGCTTGCTATGCAATTTTCATCAATTAATCTTTATGTTTTGTTACTGTTGACTTTCCTAAATTTATTACCAACTATTAAAAGTTTTGCTTTTGCAATAACACTTCCTGATTGTTCGTTTTCTTCTTCATCTTGTTGAGACTGTAATACGGAAAGAAAATTGCCACACTTTTGTTAATCACAATTAAAAGAAATACATTGTAGATTTTCCTACACGGTCGCCTAATATAAGATAGTGCAAAGTGACTTTTCTATTGACAGCAAAAAATTCAAGAAAATAATTCATTTTAGAAGAGAAGGCACAGTTGAGTGTAAACATATATGATGAGACCGATATTTACTAAACTGGCAAAAATCAGGATTTTTGGTGATTTTTATTAAACTTTCCACGTGTTTAGACTCAAGTATTTTGTACATTTTTTGAGAAATTCAAAATGCTACTTGTTTTAGTGTGGACACAGTGATTTTTTAAAGAAGAGAGTGCAGTAGGGTAAAGGTTTCCATTTTGATATCGATGTTTTTGCCGATTTTCATGCAGATTTTAGAATTTTCAGCGCAAAGTGGAAGTATATTCTATAGATGCTGAAAGTTTCAAGCCTGCTACTTGCTCTAATTTGGAGTATGCAAATTTTGAGATGAGAGAGCGCAGTCGAGTGAAAACATTCATTATGAGACTGGGTTTCACTAGACTGGAAAAACTCAATATTCCGCACAATTTTCATAATACATTCCGTCTCTTTAGAATCAGGCGTTTTCTATAACTGGAAGAAAATTTGAATTCATTTGCTTTTATGTGAAAGACGTATTTTTTTCAGTATGTGAAAGACGTATTTTTTGAATGAATTCGCAAAAAAATCAGGTTTTCCGAAAATGTTTACTAAACTTTCGATGCCTTTAGAACTACGCTTCGTCTAAAACTCGTGAAAATTTTAAGTTTTGATGTTTTTCTTTTTCATGTTTAGGTCAATTGCCTCGTTTGCGTACTGTTCTGTATATCTTGCACTCCCCGCACAAGGAAATATTCTTAATGAACGTTTTTTATGCTTTTGCTCGATGATATTGAAACTCCGAAAAACGCATGTACGAAAACTAAACAGGGCATAAGGTACGTCTCCAGTGTAATTAAAACAATAAATTAAAAATAGGTAGAATATAACAGTAACAAATGAAAGCAAAGATTCACAGAAAGTAGTTCTTCAGAATCCTTAACCTATTTAATTAAAGTCCTTTGGGGGAAAAAAGTCAAAAATTCAAATTAAATTATGCAAACGACTAACTGAATAGATAAATGAATTGTAAATAAATCTAATAACCCATTAACTGACCTGTAAAAAGTTTCGTTTAATGTAGATTAAAACATTTGATTTTAAAAAGTTCCATCTTCCTACACGTTTTTTTTTATTTCTATGATTTTTGGAAAATCCTTTTTTATTATGAACTGTATACAGTCCTCAACGAATAGACCAATAGATCGATTCTATTTTCTTATGTAAACATTCGAATCCTCTAAAAACAACTAACTATTTAAAGTTTTGTGTCATGCATGTTGATCGTCACATTTTAAATCTGTATCCAGCAAATTTGGTTGCTATTTAATCTACAAATTAACGTTTTAGTTTTGCCTTTTCCCAAACTCTTTGCTCTCAAACTTTCTATCATGTACTTAAAATTTTTAAGCTTAACTAAAACTGAAACCTACTCTTGACCATTCAATATTAAATAAACGAGGCTCTCAAAGAAACAGATAAAATAGGGAAAAATTGAGAAAAATTAACCCATTGAAGTAACTGGAAAGTTTATCTGAAGCTGAAGTCCGTAAAATGCGTGTTAGTTAGAAAACAACAAAACAAAATTTTTTAAAGTTTTTTGCTCCTTATACTTTGTCTGTGGAATTTGGATTTGCAGACGATTCTTTGCTTCCCAACACCAATTTTAAACTCGAAAATTTGGAATTTGTTCAACTTTTGAAACGCTCCACTGCATTCCCTATATGCATTTTTAATTTACAACTTTAATTCACAATCACTCAGCTTTTTGCAACAAATTTCCTATGAGGTGTTAGCATAAGAAAATCAAACGATTATAATTTGTTTGTTTTTTTGCTGCAAATACGCTCATACACTGCTACCTTGAAGTCAAATCCATAACAGTTTTTTCGCAAACCTAGTTTATTATAATAATCAGAAGTCAATTACATAAAAAGCTGAATTTTTGCTACTATTAAGTTCAAAGTCAAATGGCTGCGGTTGCGACTCACGATTCCGCTTGAATTGCTTTGCAACAAGAATTTAACGTATTGCCCAATGGTCGTTGGTACACGAAATATGCAGGATTTCAAAAGTTTAACAGGATATCATGTTTGGGTTTATTAGATTGTTGAGGTCGTCGGGTTTTCTTGTATATGTGGTAAAATAGTCCGCTTTTTGACTGCTTCAGATTAACAAATTTTTAATTTATTTAGTAGTTATCTAGTTAGTTGTTATGCGGTTGAATATTACTATTGGAATTTACTCGATTTTACTGATAAGTGCATATCAATCCCTATCTACCAATGAGATCGGATAAAAGTTACTGATTATTTTAATTTCTTCTGTTAAAAGTTGCTTTCAATTCTATGAAAAGCAGGACACGATTTTTAAATGTTACTTACTTCAAACTTGTTTTGAAGTGATCTTCGAATCGTAATACAAATCAACTTTCCTTTCCCTTTATCAGGAAGGCGTTTCTATGTTTGACTAATGTAACAAAAGTTGCTTTTTTAATATTCGCTTGTTTCCTTTTGAGAATGATTCAGATTCTGCTGCTTCTCTCATCAAATGTGCCATATTGACTCCATTCGTCCTCYATTCAGACATAAAATATTTTAAAATACATATCTACACCTGTGTTCTAGTTCTATTCAACTTCTTAAATTTCAAAAAAAATCTTCTTGAAAGTCTGCTCGAAWTTTTGCTATAACTTTTGCACTGACTTGAATACTGTATTCGTAATGTTTATTTTGTTTTCTGATGTTTTTCCTTTCATATTTCTTATTGGTTAGATCTGTGCCCGATGCAGACGATTTGATAAAAAAAAGTCCTGCTTTTATCGTCTAAAGCAACCGGATTGAAAAGAARATACGCTCAAATTTGTCGTTTGGAACGTTTTCTTCACGCTTATGCAATTCAAGCAAAAATATTCCACGAGAAGCGCATTGATCTAGCAAATTATCCGAACAAGCGTACTTGGAAAAAACATGATATTGTATTAGAAAACCAAAGGCTTTGCTTATTTTTCAGATACACTCCAAGGTTCTGATAGAGAAAAGCATGTTTTTGCCACTGAATTAAGTCAAATGAAATGAAAGCAAATTWTTAATTCACCAGCTGTTGCATTTTCTTCATTTAAGTACGAAGTTTCTTCATCTAAATTTCAAGCAGATGAAGCATTTTTAAATAGAACTCTGTCCTTGCGCTCACCTATAGAGTTATTTTGCTTTTCCACCAGATCTGCGTTTTGTTATACCAACGAAAATTTTACCGATTGGCCCTTTTTTTAACTGTCTTTTCTTTCCAAAGTAATTTCATATAAAGTAATTTTTTACTGTTTTACTGAACTTGAGGCTCTTACAACCATATTTTTTTGTAATAAAAATTGTTTGAGTTATCAATAATCATCTACTAGGACTCAATCCTTTAAGTTTTTATCTCACTTATCAAATTTCAACATTATTAGGTTCTTACGTGAACAATCATTTCTTCAACTTTCACATTCAAGCTAAAATGTGAAAATTCTGATTTAATCACTGATTTACTCTTCCCAATAATGCCGAATAAAATAGACGTCGTGTTATAGAGCACAAAAATTGAGAAAGCGCTTTCTTCATTCCATTGAAATAGAAAAATCGTAAACCACCACTGTTTCTTTAATTAGCTTTAGTTGTTATTTTTGTTATTTTCAATCTCAAACAGAATTTTCTGCATTTTCAATGTCATAATTCATTTTTTTCTTAGCGAACTCTTCTTCTAGAAATAAACTTTCATTCCTATATAACCGTGGAAGAAAATGCATTATGTAAAACCGAAATGTTTAATATAAATATTTTTCACACATTTTCACTCTTACTTGTTGCTTTCCTTTCAAAAGCCGATTTGAAATTGCTAGTCTTATAATTCAAATTTCGCCCCAGAATAATGCTATGATATATTATAAAAAAAATATTCAAATCGAATCACCGACTGAGAAAATATTCACAGGCAAAATTTTTAATTGGCTCTTAAACCAGCTGTAATTGTTTAATAAATAGCCACTTCACTCAAAATCAATCTTTTATTGAAGTATAACAAACATTATTCAATAATAGCCGGCTTCAATAGCACTTGCGTTTAACACTAAATAAAATAAATTAAATAAACCTTCAAACGCAATTAAGCGCCAACCGCAGGTAATTACCTCTTGTAATAAGTGCTGCCATATAATGGCTTATAATTAGAAGCATAACCATATGGACTTGGGTGCGTCTGGTACAACGACTGAACTGAAACACTTTTAGATATTCCATGGGGTTCGATGTACAATTCCTTCGATCCTGGATGCACTATCGCGGCATTTCCATGCTCGCCATATCCATAATCTCCTTCATCATCGTATTCACCTTCTTCGCCGTCGTAGTTATTTGCTCCATATCCTCCGTAGCCTCCATAGCCTCCATATCCTCCATAGCCTCCGTAGCCGCCTAAACCTCCGTATCCTCCGTAACCTCCGTTTGCTCCATAAGCGTTGGGTGCGTGGTAATTGTTGTAGCCACCGTATCCATTGTTTCCATTGTATCCATTATATGCGCCTATTGGATACCCATGGTTGTTGTAGTGAGTAGCCGAATCGATTGAACGAGCGAAGACAGCAAACAATGCAATAAGAACAATGAGAAACATCTTCGACTCTTTTGACGATTTGTTTTCGGGTTTCAATATTTATACAAATAGTGAACTCAAGGCATATCCCTACTTGGGAATTGATTAGCAAACTTAATCAGCGTTCCAGTCGACGAAGTAAACTAATTATATGTTATTAGTTTTTAGTACGATGAAAATCCGGCGACATAATTGAAGAAATCACCACGAACCTTGCATCAATGTTGAATTCTTGAGCTGTAAGGTCGCCCCTTGATCACCAATGCGTAGATATTTGGGTTGAAGTGTTAATTAGATTCGCTCAGTGTAACACCATGAATCGATTCTGAAAAAACAGCCTTAAAAATCTTGACCTTGTCTCGCCGAAATTCAGTGTTTCTTCAGTTCTAGCAGCCTTTAGGAGCAATTTCAGCGTGGTACAAAAGTTGCTTCATTAGGTGCATGGTATTTTCTAGGTGAGTGTAGCTTCACAGCAATATAACTTTCAAAGAAACGACTATCACACAAAGTGACTGAAGCTGAATATTCCCAGGACTTGAAACGGGAGTCTGTTCTTTTCTTAGTGTCAACGTTAAAGAAGTGAACATTTCGCTTCTTTAAAGCTGATAACCAAAACGTTTGATCTGACCAAGGATGTATTTTTTGCTTAGAATTGATGAGGGAACAACGTAAATCACACCAAACTTCCACAAATGAGCCAGTTAAAGAACTAGAGCAAATTAAATTGTAATTTCATGCAAGCAGTGCCACAAACTCTACAAGATTTCTGCCTTTGCTTTGGTTTCTAAATGCTTCTGTACGACCTCAACTTTGTTTAAAATCCAAGATTAAACAATAAGAAATACTTCGCTATCTTATATGTTATAAGTATTGCATCCTCATTTCCGGACAGCCTGTATTTTGCAGAAAATTGAAGCTTTCTGAAGAAGAAGTTTACATAAGTACATTTATATTTAAGGAATTAAAACTATACTCAAATATGATTTCAGGAAAGGAAAAATATGGACTTAGTAACGATTCGTTAAACATATGCAGAGTGGCAAAGTGTCAGGAAATATTATTTTTAATCTTTATGGTATTTTTTAAGAGGTTTTGCTTGATTTTGAACTCATTAGCAACGGATTCGTTTTTATGTTCTGGAGTATGATCTATGTCAAATGGATATGCAAAAGTCACAAAAAATAAAAAAATCTGATAATTTTCTAACCAGAGATACGTTCTCCAATTTAGTGTTAGCTTAAAGGAGATTTTTGCTTTCTTACAAATCGGTTTTGGCTAATAATTTATATTTGTTGGATTGATTATCACCTATTTGCATTTTCATTATTAATCCCGAGTTTGAAAATATTCCAACAATACTATGGAAATAACTGTGTAAATAACCAGAAAAACAAAAAAAACAACTAATTAAGAATTAGAAAACGATAACTTAAGTTTTTAATTAAATAAGTAAGTTAAGCTAAAAAAATTGTAGGAAAAGCATTTTTCTAAATTAACAGATTATTAAATTATCGAATAACAAACGATCAGTTGCTTGCTGCAAATGAGAGTCGTAAAAACTTTCAGATTGTGCATTCTTGCAAAGTTTTGACGCTCTCAGTGTCAATACCCAGGAAAATAGATAGTCGAGCCTTTAAAAAACGTTCGAAATGGTTTGCAATCCACAGAAACTGTTCATCCATTTATATCCGAACTTGTACTCCTAAAATCAAACATAGATTCACCTCTTTGCGTATGGACGTGCTAGTCTGCAAGATCCTGCATCTTCGGAGTACTTTTGGCTTTTCCAGCTGGAAAATAATTATAATTTTCCATTACATAACAATTAATATCATAATTCTCGACCATTAAAACACTGCTTTAGTGTAATCTGCTTATCACAGCAACCGCCGTTTAATCTGACTTGAAAATTCGGTTTAAGTTCTGGTTGATTATTTTTCGCCGGGCGAAATCGGAGCAAAACCACGTTTATTTCAGGTTGTAATACCATCAGGTGTCCAGATATTTAACAGCCTCTTAGTATTTGATGGTTTATTAATTAATGCATTTACAGCCCCTTTTGTTATAATAAAAATAAAAACACATAAAAGCAATGAAGAATATATTTATAAAACTTCTTCACATTCGTACAAACTGGTACTTTGTTACTGTTATTTTTAGACTGAATTACTCAGTTCACGGCCCAAATTTGTTGAGGGTCGATCTGCGAACAATCAGATTTAAGTCACAATTAATTTGTACAAAAAAAAGGAAATTCAGAGCAAATTTTTACAGATTTGCATTCACGCTGTCAATTTATTAATAAACCCTTGTTTAGGTACCTTTTGTTAAATATAACAGAATTTTTCTTACAGCTTGAGCCTAAGAGTGTCGTAACATGTCTTCTAGATGATTCGTTTTTTCGTAAAATAAGAGCACTCTTTACCAAACTGTAAGAAAAAACTTAATAAAATTATGTATTTTTTAAAAGCCCAACGTTTTTGAGGCCAAATCCCCAACAAAAAGGCTTTGAACAAAAGTGAATATCTTTCATCTGTTTTACCTACTTACCAACCAACCAAGATCAGTTTCTCATGACCCTGGCTTTGAAATCGTTTAACAAATTTGCAGTTCATATTCAGTTTTTTCGCCAACTCTAATAAAAAAGCCATCATATGGCCCTGCAAACGGCTTCCAATGGAATGTAATAAACCGCAGAGGCACGTATTGAGCTCCATTCAATGGCGAGGAGGAATTTAATCCGCGAAATAAATTCTACTTCATTAAATTCTTCAGGTTATTAGATGAAGCCGTGAACAGAGCCAGCCTGTAATCGCCAACTTATTCACTCATTTAAACAAATAAAATTTGTTCTCATTTAGGTCGCTTTGAAGAATGGCTGCAACATTAACCTTAGGAACCAGTTTTTCCATATGTTGACTTCAGTCCTTGATAAAATAAGAATTTTATGATGAAAAATAAAAAAAATGTGTTTAACCAAAGCTAACAAAAGTGTGGATCTATTCATTTATTCATATCTTTTATGTAACTAAATGTGTCGATTTATAAAAATAAAAACTGTCTACGACGTTAGTTTGACTAATCCGCCGAACACCTTGAGTCATCGGGAACATGCGCCCTATCTGGAACCTAAGAGGCTCTTCGGTATAAATCTGATTTTCCTCCAGATTCCCCTTTAGAGCTCAACCGATTCGTTCCAGTTAAAATAACGGTGACCGAAAACTTTTTACTATTTTCAATAAATAATGTAAGCGCTATGTGGTCAATGCGCCCAAGTAAGTTCTTCTTTGTGCTGATTAGTGCTTTCAGTTTAGGACAATTCGCCACATGCTCTAAATGTAAGTAGAGGCATGTGTTTAAGGCGCCGTTACTCATTTTCCAAATGCAGATGACAACCAGATTTTCAATATTTCCCTTAATGGAGACAGTTCCATTTCCCTGCACTGGATGATCGACTATCAGCAAAAAGTTCTGAGTTTCGAAATTCATCTACCCGATAAGTTTGGATGGTTTGCTTTCGGGTTTTCTGATCGAGGAGACAGCTTTCCTGCGGATTATTGTCTATTATGGGAAAGTTCTTCTTGGAAAAATAGTAAAAAATTTGACTTAAAGGTGAGCCCAGTACATGCACATGTATATATAATAATTTGCTTAACAGGTTTAAGTAAAATCGTCTCTCTCGAGACAAAATTGTATCAATTGGTTTCACACCTTTTGTCACATTTCCTTCATTAGTTAATTTAAGAATTTTTCAATTAGCGTTTTCAAAACGTGTTGTTTTTCGTTCGAAAACAAAAAGCTAATTCAAAAAATAAATAAGCTGGTTCCCAGAAATGTGTCATTATAAATCACCCTGCATTTTCAAGGATGTTTGGGCTAACGATGCAGGAGTTATAGAGCTGGACAGACACCAAGATTGCAACAATTTTCGCTTTAAAATTATTAGAAATGTTGTGAAATTTACCTTCAAGAGAAAATTTGATACTTGCGATAATCGAGATTACATAATTCAGGTAAGAAACAACTGCTTTAAAACAATACTAAATCATACATAAGGTGTTTTTACATTTATCGTTTTGCATATCTAGTTAACTTTTTACTCTTTGATACATTTAATATTACTTTATTGTTTTGTTTATTGTTTTAATGTTCATTCTGGTGTATCTGACTAAAACAGTACGTTGGAACCATTTCCTAATACTAAAATTTCATAATTTTTGAAAAATTGCATGTTTATAAGCGAACTTGGCATTTGTATTACAACTGTTGTATAGGAAATGTTTTATTGACTTCAAGAAACTGTTAAAAGTAATAAATAAGTTATTAAATAAGAAAAAGGAACGAAAAAGCGAATATAGAAAAGGCCCGATATATCTCAAAATTCCCATCGACATTTCTAATAGTAATAATAACAATAATGCGCGGTTTACTGTATATTTAATTTTGAAACAAAGTTAAGTAAAAAATGACAACAATAACTACAAGAAGAAATTGTAAAACTGTATACATTACTTGCGTTTTATGGTTTATCTGTTTGTTGCTTAAAATGTATTTTTTCTGGGATTGTTTTTCAACTTCTAATATTTATTTACTTTTCGCCACTATTTGGTTCGTGAAGTCAATTTTGTGCAACTCGTTCCCCTGTGTCGGTACGTTTGTCTTTTTTAGCTTCTAAAATCGCTCTCTTTCACATTTTTTAAGAAAATTTTTGACTATATTTTAATTAATTAGTCCATAAATTTGCTAGAGGAATGAAGGTAGAAAAATAAATTATATATTTTTTCTTGTTTGTTTTTATATTTAAAGTTAATTGAGAGAATTTAAAGCTAATCGAGCTTACTTGGCATTAAGAAATCCTCTGCTAAAACTACATTAATTATTTTGCTCTATTTAATGTCGAAGCAATAATTAGTGTAGGATTTGAAAACATGTGTTTAAGCTATTGGATGAAAGTGGTAAAATTCGATAAAATTGTAGTTATGATTTAACCAAAAATTTGAGCTTGTATTGCATTAGAGTCCATTTTCTACATTTTGCTTTATAATTTTAGTCTATTCAGTTTCTGAATTGTAGAAAAATTCCAGTGCTTTTGCAGCTTTTTAACAGTTTTTCTATTGGTTAAATTTTCTCTTAGGGACTAAAAACATTGTTTATGTAAAACCAAATAAAATTATCTAGTAGGATTTGATTTACTGGAATATAATTTCATCCTTTCCAAATTGACTGACCTATTTTGAATTATATTTAGTAGATGAAAGGCATGTCCTTTCGGGTAAAAGTAGTAGTCTTATTGTTGTTGGTAAATTTTCAATTAATTAACAGTTTCATTTGGGAAATATTGGAATTAAAAATTAGCTCTAAAAGAGTTTTGAAAATATCGTTTCCATATGCATTAAACAATTGTAGTTGGGAGCCTATTCTCGGTTGGAACCTTCTGTTCAAACAGTCTAATTCAACATTAGACATAATTTATTGAACAGAATCTAACAGAAAAACAAGTGCTTCATCAGAACTGTGAAAAACTGTTGAAACTGCTAATTTTCACGTGCAATTAATTTTATTCCATGACGGTGCAAACACCCAAAAAACGCACCAGTATTTAAATATTTTGATTTATTTCACTGGCTGCGTGCAATTGTTATTATATTCTTATCCTTCCTGGGATAAGACAAAAAATATAACAATAATCAGGAAAAAAGAAACAATATCACTACCATATGTTCCAGAAATCAATAAAAAAATATCAAAAATACTAAAACAACAGAACATTATAATTGCGGAAAAAACAAAAAACAACTTATCAACTGAATGTTTCCCAAAACTAAAACCAAAAACTGATTGTTTAGAATCTGATAATACATATATAGGACAAACTAAACAATATTTAAAAAAGAGAATGTACGAACATATATACAGTCTGAGAAATACTAGTGAAAATAAAACAGTATTAACACAACATGCACTCCAAATTTTCCATAATTTTGATTTTAACAACGCAAGATATATTAGTTAAGGAAACAAATGAACATAAAGGAAGAATCCAAGAAATGATACAAATAAAAAAAACATGCAAAAGCAGTAAATTTCAGATCAGATAACGGCAACCTTAGCAACATTTTCCACACCCTAATAAAGTCATAAGTATAGAACACCCAGTACACTAGTGAAAAATGTAACCTATTTCTGCTTATCTCAATACATGCATACTATTCTCGCAAATGTAGAAAATAATTCAAACAAATTTAACGTTCAAAACAGCAAATACCTAAAAGAACGTTAATTATTATAATACGTTAACCAATTATGAGGTAAGTTTTCCAAATGTTTTGCTCTCCCAAAAGGAAGATTTTTTGTGTTATTGTAGTTTGTGTAAATTTTAAGTCTGATGATGGCGCTGTTGTCTCGCCGAAACGTAATGAAATAAACGATATTCAAAATTTTTGCTTCGCACTTTGACTGAGACCCAGGAAGGATAATAATTTAATAGTATTTAAATATGTTCTATATGCTAAATATAAATACTTGGAAACTAGCATGGAAAATAATTATTTTCGAATATTGTTCAAATATTAATCCAGGATGGAACCACTCATATTGTATGGTCCAGAGGACTGGAACACATTGTCGCTCCCAATGGGCTCAACATCAGCACCACAATCCGCGAAAACTTCGGCATGATTCGAGTGAACTTACTGAAAAATCTAAAAGCCCATTCACAGCTACCTTCACACGTACAAGTTCTGGATCTGCTAACAGACAAAGTCCAGGTACCCAATGAGGAAACCACTTATTGGTGCAAAGTTTTCAAATTGCCTGAAAGCTTTAGGCGAAAACATCACATTTATCAAGTATGAAAGAAGCAAAAGACTCGGGTGGTCGATTAATCTGAATTTGCAGTACGAGGCCAACATTGAAAGCACCAGCCAAGGGTTGGTGCATCACATGGAAATTTTCCATTGCGAAACTAGTGCTATGGAGAAAATTCCTTTGTACAATGGAAACTGCTTTGGAGAAGATCGCCCAGAGAAAACGCAAGTTTGCAAAAGGGTCTTGGCTGCATGGGCTATGGGCGCACAACCATTCACTTATCCAGAGGTATTTATTTATCCATAAAGCCGCAATTTTTTGATGGTTTTTGTAGGAAGCAGCGCTTCCACTCGGAGGCAACAAGTTCAATCCTTACGTAATGCTGGAAATCCATTACAATAATCCTGAACTCAAGTCTGGTAGGTGATTAATTAAATTCCGTATCTTTTCAAGCAGTTACGTGGGTTTAGGTGTGATCGACAGCTCAGGAGTTCGCTTCTACGTCTCCGATAAGCTCAAAGAAATGGATGCAGGAGTAATCGAGCTCGGATTGGAGTACACTGATAAAATGGCAATTCCCCCCGGACAAGAATCGTTTTCCCTTACAGGGTATTGCATAAGTTCTTGCACGTCTGTTGTAGGTTCTTCTCTTGAATTCTTATCGCCCAATTGGGTTCTAAACGTGGTTTCGCAGGGTTTGCACAATGAAGGCATCACCGTTTTCGGTTCTCAACTTCACACCCATTTAACAGGCGTTCGGGTGCACACTCGCCACTTTGATGCTTATGGAAAGGAATTGCCGGAACTGGATAGAGACAACCATTACAGTACGCATTTCCARGAAATCAGGCGCTTGAAACGGCCTGTGAAAGTTTTACCAGTAAGTTGCGAAATAACGGAATATAAATGSTAGGAGAGTTGCTTTTCTCRGCAGATTCGTGAAACTCAAAARCACKTTTGGATCTAAGAAKATGAAAAGAGTATCTAWTGATCAAACCGTATGAGGCAAACATTGTTTTTTTCAATGAACGGTTCACATCAGCCTCCAKAAATTAGTGACATGTGTTCTWWKGAGAGCCTTTRWAYYGTGYTACTSCATYTMAAAWTWAWAACAATGTGCTAMAYMWGTAAATTYAAKKWGTWMTTTTRATTTTKARMMTTTGTCWWRTKYTAMTCCWTTTAAAATTTWYAAMWWTKAATTKYTAAAATGTAWKTYTAAWTTTTTKYTTATTAATTCAAAAAATKCTGAGCTCGTACTGTACAAAGTATCTGCTCATAGGAAACGCTTAAGACTTTAAACGTTAAAACGTTAAAAAACTATTTAAGTTTYACAAAAGCAAGCACCAGAACGAGACATGAATAAACTTTCAACRGTTTTGCKCAGCTGCTTCCTATCTTCGAAAATTTGACTRAACATTTCCCAAGTAATGGTTGAAGAAGAGTTACTATYTKTTCCCTTTAATCAAATGTATTGAMTATTTTTATAACTAATGAAAGCTGATGTTGCGAACTGAKGTTATGAAAGCAAAAATTAGCAGTTGATCAATTCTTCACTAAATTGTGCACTTCTGCAAAAAATCYTTTAGGCTTTGAGCTTGTTACCGTTATTCAAAATTCATTATGAATCAACCTTTTCCTTCAAATTAACCTCAAGCTTCTTGAATTTGTATCACCCTGTATAAACCAAGTTGTTGCCTGTTGCCTAATGCCCGGTTGCACCTCTAGTGCAGAAATGACGCCGTGCCAAAAAATGTCCAAAGCTTCCGAATTCCTTCCGAAAAAATCCATCGATGGACTTTCCTGAAATTGAGCCGACAATCACAGTCAAGCTTCGTTTAAACGCTGCTGAAGAGCGCACGTTGCCTTCTTGTCTGGTTATAAAGGAATAAGCTTTTGAAAACCCTAGTGCAGAAATGACGCGGTGCCAAAAAATATCCAAAGTTTCCGAATTCGTTCCGAAGAAATATATCGATGGTCTTTCCTGAAATTGAGCCGACAATCACAGTCAGGCTTCGTTTAAAGGCTGCTGAAGAGCGCAAGTTGACTTCTTGTCTGGTTATAAAGGAATGAGCTTTTGAAGACTCTAGTGCAGAAATGGCGCGTGGCCAAAAAATGTCCAAAGTTTTAGAATTCGTCCCGAAGAAATCCAT